ATATAGATAGATAGATATATATATATATCTATCTATCTATATATATACACACAGTATATATATATATAAATCATGCATACATAAATATACATACATACACACATGTGTGAAATGACTAGCACATGCAAAGATATAGGAGGATGACATTATATACTAATCTCTACTATCCCTTTAAAAGTTAAGCCCCCCACACACGTCTGCCTTTTATTCTTTCCTTTTGGCCATTTATTAGTAGGGATTAACAAAATTGAGAGTTTTTTATTAGCCAAATCTTCTGTGAAATTTCACCATTTTTGACAAAATGCATTGGAGCCAACGGGAAAGGCAAAAGTAAGTGTTTTCTAGTTATTTTTAAGGGTGCACTTGGCTTTAACTGGCTCCCGAGATTAAAATAGGTCCTTTCAACTATTCTGGACTTTTTTTTGCCTAACAAACAGCCCCTTATTAGCCTCATTACTTTACATTTTTTTCTCTCAGAAGAAAAAAAAGACATTGAAAAGGGTCAAATTAAATTAAACACAACAGTTCACGATCAAATATCGATCAAATACACCAAAAAAGGGCAAGAAAATATAAAGAACATTATTGAAAAAGGCTAAGCTGCTCTAAATGCACTCTCCAAAAATATTTTAAAAAATCCTCACATTTAAGGAAAAATCAAAGAAAATGTTGTCTGAGCAAGCCAGTGAGCCAAACTTCAAGTTTTCAGTTTTTATAATAATTATTTTGCCGACAGTGAAATCAATAATTTATACTGTGAATAGTAAATTAAACTGTGAATAGTAAATTAAAAGCAATTAGCTAAACCGTAAAGAAAAATTATAGTAAATAATTGACACAAACTGTGATACAAATAATTATCTGACATCTAGCAAAAAAAAAAAATAGTGTTTTCATACAAAAGTTTAATAAATCATCTTACCTGGGAAGACATGGTGGCAGGTTGGGTAGTGTCTAGAAGGTAGCACAGGAGAAGTTCAGAGGATGGAATGTGCAGCCTCTCAATGAGAAGACAGCAGCAGAACAGGTAAGATCACCTCTCCTTCGCTGTTACCTCCTAAAGGATGCCATAGTCTGTAAAGGACCAGAGTGTGACATTATATACTGTCTGGCTCCTCCCTCCTGTCCCCAGCTCCGCCTCCAAGTAGAAAGTTCAGTACATCTATGATCTAGCTGTACCAGGTTCCCTCCAGATAAACCAGTATGTCTTTTTTGAAATGCACTCTGTACAGATGCTGTTCATCCTTCTTCACCCGTGGCACACAGAGGGATATGCTGCTGATACTGCAGGCTATTAAAACAAAATTATATAATAAACGTTTGCACAAGCTACTTGTGACATAAAGAAAACACAGTAAATGCTGCTTTCTTGTGTATGTAAACAAACACTTACAACCACCAACTGAAAATCAAGAGCACTTGCAAATTGCACACAAATTTTGTCACCATGTCCAAAATGTCAAAAACTAAATTAAAGAAAAAATCTCAATAAAAGAGATTGATAATAAAAACAAAAATTCCTGGTATACCAACATTTGCAGTCCCAGGGATTTTTGTTTCGATATTGATACACAGGGGAAGATTAACAAAGATTGGTTCACGCCAAAAATGCACTCATCCTGTGATAAAATAATAACATCACATTTTTTGTATGATGAAAGGGCCCTATGCAGCCCCCGAGACATTGTTTGCTTTGTGATATGATAGACTTGCATCAGTAAAAGATTTAGTTATATCACTGTTGGGGTGCCGGTGACTCTTTTGCTTATTAAAGGGTAACTCCACTTTCTCAGGTGAATTTGGGAGAATGGATTACCCCTCCAATCTGAACCCCATCACCCCCCCGCTATACATAACTTTCAGTGAATGCTCCTCTTCCTCCAGCGGCGCAGGTGTATTGACCGTACCCTGTACTGCCATGTAGCACAGCCCTGCCCTATGGATTTTTAATTTTGCCTGCAAATGGCGAGCAACCAGGCGCGTGGACACAGGACAGACTCTGTGGGACACAAATAGCAGTCTGCGCTGGAGCAGGGTCCGTCACCAGCATTGGAGGGACTGCTGAAAACAAATGGAAGGAAGATGTTCGGATCAAGAGGCATCACATAATTTAAGTCCTTACAGCAGCATTGGGGGGATTATCCTTTAATGTCACTTTAAGGAGCATTGACCATGTGGCTCCTGGGATTTGTGCATCCCTGTTTTAAAGTATGGTGTATATACACTGAGTGGCCAGATTATTATGACCACCTGACGTTTGTAGGCAAATTAGCTATAATTTCAACGTCCAAGTACTCACAGATACCAATTACTGGTACCTTTTTTTAATGTGACAGTTTCTCTTAAAAAACAATACAGACTAATAATTTCAGGACAGCGGTGGAGCGCCAGGGTCTAGCTACCAGCTGCAACCCTGGTAGTTCTCGTGAAAATGCCAAGTATCAGCACTGGTATCTGAACTGGTGTCTGAACATCCCTAAATAAATCTCCACCAAAATGTTCTAACTCATCAATATTATGTGCATCCAAATTGTAGTGGACGCTTTTGAAGTAATCTACTGGGAGAAGAGACCAACGTGCGATGAAAGATTTCACTACAATATATTTAGTTAGCCAAAATATAGTATCCCCCTAAATTCGAACTTCAACTTTTGTCCATGGCTAACGCATTACAACACTCTGCTGCTTCCAGATTATAGACACAACCTTGCGGCATACTGATCTTATATTATTCCTGCTTCTGTAAACTCTATGCGAATGAGCTAGTTCTGCCCTGTAGCCTGGAGGAGAGCGAGAACTGTACTGGTTTTACAGGTGAGGCAGATCGGGATATCGAGAGCTGGTAAACACTGGTTTTTAATATAAAGGAAGTGAGGCCAATTAAAGATTACAGGACAGAGGCAGCTCTTCAATGAGGTAGATGAAGGATACCCAGACGAGATAAAGAGACTGGAGGGGGGGGGGGGGGACTTGTGAGTTCTGGTAAACACAATTCACATGAAAATGTGTCAAATTAACCCCTTAGTGGCCGAGCCCTTTTTTTCGTTTTTTGTACCCATGATATAATCCACATTATAGGCCTGAAAATTACTTCAGCCCCCCACACATTCTATATTTTCTGAAAGCCAAGACCCCTGTAAAATACAATTTTGGCAGTTTTAAATTTTTACGTTGCACGATATTAGCGCAACGTATTATCAAACCCCAAAATGTAGTGAAGAATGCCCTTAAGTGCCCCAAAACACAATTCAATACCCATTTTTTTATAAAATATAAAAGATGAGGTTACAACAAGTAAATGGATACCCAACATGCCCAGGTTGTGTGCATCCGTGAAACTGCAACAAAATTTAGTACCCCAAAAAAGTCCATAGACGACGCTTTAAAACACTATGGGGTCTATTCACTAAGCTGCTGTAGGCAGCCGAGTGAATGACCGACCTGAAGTGAAGTGAGCCGAACACTGTTCGGCTATTCACTTCAGGCTGGTACGGCTGAAATCAGCCGTACATCGGCTTGCTTTGCGTGGTTTCGGGTCGGCCGAACATGCTCAGCAAGTTTGGCCGACCCGAAGTGCAGAAGGAGTTCGACTCAGCCGATCCAACATCTGAGCGGCATTCGGCTCGGCTGTTCTGCTCGGTCCCTCAGAGGTACCGAGCAGAACAGAAAAAGAGTGAAAAAAATTTAAAAAAGTAAATAGAAAATGATTGTGCGGAACCAGCAGTGACAGCTAGCTCCACCCAATAGTTTCCTATTGTCCGACGGCTCTGCTGCTGTAAAAAACAAACAAAAAAAACCTCTCCCGGGCGCTCTGGGAGCCTCCCGCTCCCGGCCGCCAAGGAGAGAAACACTGCTGTGTCTTTTTTTTTCTTTATTCTGACACGGAGCGATGTCAGAATATAAAACAAAAAAAAAAAATTCCCATTGAAATGCATTGCTACATTCCTATTGGCTATTTAAATTTCCAAAAGCCAATAGTAAACTAGCATTGTACCCGCCCTCTGCTGGATGGACCTGATGGAGAACTGCAGCAGAGGGCGGGTACAATGCTAGTTTACTATTGGCTATTGCAAATTGAAATAGCCAATAGTAAAGTACCAATGCTTTTCAATGGGAATTTTTTTTTTTCTTCTATTCTGACATCGCTCGTGTCAGGATAAAGAAAAAAAAGATACTGCGTTGTTTCTCTCCTCGGCGGCCGGGAGCAGGAGACTCCCGGGCGACAGGGAGAGTAGCTGGGGCCAAAGATAGCCGAAGATGAAGATGAAGAGCAAGGAGATTGTGATTTTGGATCTAGGAGGAGGGATGCACACATTTAATTTATTTCAGCACAGTGTCACTTGGTTCACGATATTGGGAAGTGTTTTCACAATTTTTTACATTCACATAGTGCAGTGGTTTTATTATTATAAGATCAAACTTATTGACAAAATGGAGTCTGAAAATGTGATTCAACAGGAATCATCAATTCTCTCTACACCCTTATGCTGGGCACACACCTTACAACCATCGCAAGACTTTTGTGTTGCGATGGTTGTAAGGTAATTAAAAAAACATACGATCTGCCTATCTTGGACAGGCAGATCGTACTTGCGATGATAGCAAGCCTGCCCCACTGAGGGGAAGGCTTCTGATGACTGCAATGCCGAATGGGCAGTGTGCGCTTGCGCACACCGGCCCGTCCGGCTTTTATCTTACAAACATGCTACACACCCGCCGAAAATCGTACGATTCTCGGCGGGTTTTCGAACATGTTCCTAAGATAAAAGTCGTGCGACCTTACAGTAGTAGAGGTCGCACGGCTTCCACACACCTTACGATAATCGTACGATCGCAGGATTTCCCGCGATTATCGTACGATTATCGCAAGGTGTGTGGGCACCTTTATGAAGTGTGGCTCAATCAGCAAGCCAATGCAAAGAGCAGAAAGTGTGCTTTACAATCGCTAGAACTAATACCTTGACTAATTTGACTGAAAATGAAAGCTGATTGTATAAAATTAGTTGCTGTACTGTGCACATGTTCACCACAATGTATTACTGAATTAGCCCATAGTACATTGGGTAAAAAAGCAACCGTTTATGAATTGATAAGACCCATTAAAATAAAATCCTGTTGGTGCGAGTTACTTGTTTCTTGCCCTGATATACTCCTCATCAGAGCATTCTTTGACGTCTGCTATGTTCTAGTGTGAACTGGAATGAATGATAGAGGAGTTTGAAAAGCTCCCAGTGAGAATTCCATTGGTAATTGTACAATGAAGAGCAGGAAATTCTTGCTCATCACTCCCAGCACTGCATTATCATTCTAAATATACTTTGTGCATGGCATGGCTTCCTGGAACTGAGTCTGTGAGTGGAACAGTATGTATTTGCATTAGTGGAATGTCTACACCGGCTATAGCTGCTTTACAGAAATGCTGATTGTAGGTTCCACCCAATGTCCACTCTTTGAGTAAAAATTATGCACAGGACATCTATAGTTATTTTTTATAGGGTCAGTCCACCCAGTGCTGACTTATTAGAACTAGAAGCAAGCTGAGGAGTTTAATCACTCACTGACTATTCATATCTTTTTGATAGTCTACTCTTAAGGGGTTTGGTATTCTAGGGCAGGGCTCAAAATTTCAAGTACTGAGTTACTAGCCAGGCCTTAAGAATTACTCGCCACAAGTTGCCCCACCTAACCCCTACCCTGCCCCAGCCTTAACTCCATCAGGTCAGCGGTGTGACGTACAGTACAGAGACCAGCGGTGTGACGTACAGTACAGAGACCAGCGGTGTGACACACAGTACAGAGACCAGCGGTGTGACGCACAGTACAGAGACCAGTGGTATGACGTAGAGTACAAAGGCCAGTGGTGCGATGCAAGGTGCAAAGGCCAGCGTTATGACGCACAGTACAAAAGTCAGCAGTACAGAGGTCAGTAATCTAGCGCAGAGTGCAGAGGTCAG